TGTGCGCCATGGTGGATTGACCATAGGTTGCGACATGTGGCATAAAAGGCATTCTTTCACTTTTTCTTCCTCTTTCCATGTTCAGGTGGTCTGCCATCAATCCGGACTCACTTTTAAGGCTAAAATCATAATAAATTACATCAATTAGGCCCCTTTAGCCACATACGTCATTAATTTATTAATCACACTCATTAGGTTAATAAATCACACTTAATTTTTTTGAATGTTACAGAGAGCACTCACAGCTACTGTCTTCACCTTCTTCATTTTCATATCTCCATTCCCTACTTCAGTTGTGCCACTCATTTAGGTCGTTGTTGAAATGCTTTAAAGATCATGCCCTAGCTCGCACATCTAGTTCCTCTTGACAATCTCATGCACTATCACTTCTTCCTAAGCTCATGTCAGTGTTGAAGATTGTGCTCCCTTTTCACTGCTCCTCCCAGCTACATAACTCTGGCATATGAGATTATGGGTTCTCTCTTTTGAAGAAGGCAAGAGATTATCACATATTTGTAGAAGGCTCACCAAGCACTAAGTAATCCTCTATATTATTTTGTAATTTATTACTTGGCTTTAACTTCTGTGGTCATACTTTCTTTTTGGTTCCTCGACTTTCTTTGTCACTTCAGTTTTGATTGTCATCATACTACAATAGGATGGAGAAATTGAGGCTTTGCAAGACTCTTTTGCCTTTTTGAAATAAGATTTTGTGGAGGTATGTTCCTAACTAGACTAAAAATGCCTTAGTTTTGAAACTAAACCTTCATCCCCTTATCCTTGTTTTAAAGTTGTGCATTGATAATTCTTTGAAATATTTTTTGGTAATAGGGTCCCTAGTTTAATCTTGATGCCATGCATGTTCTTTACAATAAGTTTTTGATGTCATGCATATGTCATTTTTGTTTGAAAAAGGGTTTTGTAATGAATAAGGAGATCAAAAAGAGAGTAGAAGCCATTAAAATAAAGTTAGGGTCAAATAAAGGAGAAAAGAACATATCACCCTCAGCTTATACAACATCTTTGATGGCTTTGGTAAAAGATGTAAATGGAAGTAGGGCCCCCAATTCCTAGAATCTCTTTAATAGATAATAGACAATCAGCTTCCAGACGGATGCTTAGGGATGCTCATATATTTTTGGCTTATGATAGGCTTATTTGCACCTTATCTTCTGTTATTGCGTTAACACACTACAACATTCATCCTAAAAAAGTTGAGAAATGTAGTTGAATGATCAATATTCATATATATATATATATATATTGGATTCATGCATATTAAAAGCTTGAGAAATTTATATTCAAATGTTTCATTTGTATATAATTGTTTTATACATATAGGGCTTAAATTCTTTGAGGAGAATGTAAATAGACTGGAAATAGAAAACAGAGAGCACATGACATGTGGGTTTGAAGTGATTCTACTAACACTTCTTCATTTGGCATAAAGTCTGAAAATTGATCTGCCTGGTGACTTCCCTACCCTCAAAGGAATACCGACAAGGAGAGATGCTAAGCTCAAAAGGTACACAACACAGCTATTATTATGCTTTTTAAATTATAATAAAAAGATTCAAGGTAGCTAGGATTTGAGACTTCTTCATATAGTCCATCGATCATGCTTTCTCTAGATTAAAGAAAGTGTTGGTAGCGTGTAAAATCACCTGACATTAATTTATGGTTTTAAACTTATATATATATATGATACTGATGGGGGTGTTGCATAGTGCACCGTCAACATTGTTGCATAACTTGGAAGCAATACCATGCATGCCCCACTTCTATTTACCATTGAAAATAGCCATGCTAGGATGTAATAATTATAATTTTAACATTAAATTACATATTAATGAGAAAGATTGAATGACAAGCAGTAGAATAAATTATCAAAAATAGAGTTAATGCATTCCTCTGAATCTTAAATGTGGATGCATGCTAATTGTTGTTGGAGGCATGTTTCCAAATTATTAATTAAGATCATAGTAATTATGCCTCTATGCCTATTATTTTCTTATAATTTTTTCCGCTGTTGGATAGACCATAAAAAAGGCAACTAACAACATATTCCTAATATCATAATCTAATAGAAAAGGCTAAAAGCAAAACTTTTAATATCAATGATTCATGAAAGGACATGCTTTCAATGGTTCAATTGACACTTGGTCCTGAACGATGAACGGCGAGCTGCTTGAGTTGTACCCAAAACGACACCATCCTTAAAAACTATTTCGACATACCAGGACAATGAACCGACAGTTCCTTAGGATTAAACAAGCACTTCCTGCGAAGAAAGGAACCAGAACAGTAAAAACTAAAAACGAACTCAGATGAACAAAACAACAGAAGCCAGAGGGAAGAGAGAATTGCCCGAAAACTCAAGAGGCTGGTGAGTTGCTCTATCCGCAACCATGGCTATATATAGCTTGAAGATGGAGACATGAACATTGGCTCATAATCACCGAATTAAAGCTTTGATTACACTCTCATAAATCACGTTTAAACACCATTAATCTGGAGACATTGGCAAACACATGCATTTAAGACATTAACTCACAAAATTAATTTTCAGAAGTGGTTTAATGCCTAAAAAACTGTCAAGACTTCAAATTCAAATTTAAAACAGCAAAACTTTAGGTTTTTCCGATAAGCTAAAGATAATTATTTTTGTAAAAATAATTCGATAAAAGGAACCCAATATCTCTTGAACTCACACACCGGGGGGAGGGTGAATCGACTGATTTCAACTACGATTGTCTTAAGTTGGCTTGTCTCATGTGCGCGAGCCTACTTCTCCTCCAAGCCCATTTTACTAGCCTACTTCATTCCTTAATATTTATACACTATGAGAGTTCTTCATTTAGGCAATATGGGACTTTTAACACACACACACTTTTGACATACATACAACAGTTTTTAATCTCAGTACTAGTTTCCTAACTGAAATCAGATGGACCTTGGTTATGAATTGGTACTTATCTGTCTTGATTTGGATTTGGTGGAAGTTAGTCTTTGCCTAATTGGTATAAATATTGCCTACTTATAATTTCATTTATATATATATATATATATATTAAATCCTACAAAAATGTGGATTGGGATCATTCCTTTTCCTCAATCATATTCTCTGCATGATACTAAATACTAATATCTCTTAATCTTTTTTAGTTTTTTGTTTCACACTTGTAGTTTTGAGAACTTGGATTGTTTACAAGCACTTGAGAGTGTGAGTATTTTGAAATGGGTTAGAATTCATAATCTTGAGTTTTCTTTCTTTTCCCTCTAAGATTATATATATATTTTTAATTTTTTTAAAATAATTGACTCTAATATTTATCAATATTTGAAATAATTATTTTATATTAGTGACAGACTCGTAGGCAACCAGCAAAGTCTAGTTTGTGCGGCATGTATGTGATGAAGCACATGCTCAACATCATCAATTGAGTTTGTGCATTGATGTTGAGCATGCCATCACATACATATGCACAAACTAAATTCTAAACAATCGAGTGCATGACTTGTATAGAATATTTTAATTTGAAAAAATGGAGGGAATAATTAAAATAGATATTTAAAAAAAACAAGGCTTTCAACTGCAATTGTTACGAGAATCGCTGTTGAAAGTGCCACTATTTTTTGAACAAACAAAACAATTGACAACTTTCAATAACAGTTTATGGAACTGTTGTTGGAAGTTTTTTACAACAGCAGTTGAACAACTGTTTAACATCCCTTATAACAACAATAATTCTATAATTGTTATTGATTCTATTTTTTTTTTTAACTTGTTAAAAAGCTGTCTTGTAATAGTAAGAGTCAAGAGCATCGTTAGAGGGGATGTGGATCTTACTTATATTTGAAATGGTTTCAAAGGTCATACAATGGACAATTGAAGACAGGTTCCAGCTCCCGTTATGGATTGCATGAGCAACAAACATATTTTCATGAAGTATTACACCATCTTGTTTAACAGCTTTACCACTAGGTAAGCCGAGGATCCACTGTGTCTTTCCAAGCATTGATGCACAAAGTGCTACTCAATTTGCACCATATACCTTTTAGTAACAATTCATGGCCAGTGAGCAAGCTACTCCAAGCCCATGAAGGGAAATATATAGCTTTTAGGACTGCTATTCCCGTTTGATCACCATTCCCTTGCCAATATATGCCCATGGAAACCGGAAACGTCATCAAAAAAAAATTAGAAAACGCCTTAATAATATGAATAAAGAAAATCCGAATGTATCTGTATTATTACATTTACAATTACTGTTATACTTTACTTAATTAACAACAGTTACAAAAATTTGGATTTTCAAATACATTTATTTAAGTTTAAATTTAAATTATTTTAAAAAGTCGTCATAAGTAATTGACATTCAAAAAAATAACTAAAATTGAAATATATAAATATATTATTTATTTTAATTTTTAATCCTAAAATATATAAATTACAAAGTCAACTTCGGATTCTAAAGATTATTAAAAATATTTCACCAAAAAAGAGATTATTCAAAAACTACATCATTTATTATCTATTAAAAATTTAATTAGAAACTTTAAATATCAACGAATAATTATTAATTACAATATTTAATTTTCAACTACCAGTTTGAAAAATTAACAATTGCACGGTTAATTTGTTATTGTTATATCAGATGTTTGGAATATAAACAAAATTCAATGGAGAGTTCAATGTTAAGCAGTAAATTTGCTATAGATTACACTGCAATTACCATTTATATAAGAATTTGTGTCTGTCGGACAGATTCATAAAAAATCTACGCTCTTATTGTATGTGTTGGATTTATACAAATACATTTTTATCTTTAATTATCCCCTTTTATTTTGCATTTCCAATATTTTGTAGCCATGGGATCAATCGAACGCTTAATTTCAGCACACTTTCTGAGATACTGCACTGGACGCGCCGGAGGGGACCTCATTACGAATAGAATAATTGTTTTGTGTATATATAAGTTCTCTGGTCTGCTCCGAACCTTTATTGTTTCTTCCCTAAACCCTAAACCACCTCACAGCTCAACTGTGCCTTCAATGGCGGAACCACATCCCTCGAAGGCATTCCCCGTGAAACCCAAGTTGAAATCGAAACCCAGAACCCCGAAGCAAACCCCTGAATCCAAATACTGGTCCTCCTTCAAGACCCATCAAATCCCCGGCCTCATCTCCGTTCGTTCACTCTCCTTCTCGCCCTCTCTCGCTCATCCCTTCGCCGTCGCTCACTCTGCCCACCTATCAATCTACAGCTCCGAAACCTTTTCTGTCACCTCCACGATCTCCTTCTTCAAAGATACTGTTACCTGCGCCTCCTTCCGCTCCGACGGCCGCCTCATCGCCGCCTCTGAGTCATCTGGTCGTATCCAAGTATTCGACCTCAATTCTCGAGGCCCGCTTCGTAAACTAGAGTCTCACTCTCGCCCCGTTCGTTTCGTTCAGTTCCCATTGCTCGATAGGTTCCATTTGATTTCCGGTGGGGATGACGCCCTGGTGAAGTACTGGGATGTGGCGGGTGAAACACCGATATCAGAATTACGGGGTCACAAGGATTATGTCAGGTGCGGTGACTCTTCCCCTGTTAATTTGGACACGTTTGTTACCGGTTCTTATGATCATACCGTGAAGCTATGGGATATGAGGGTTGCAGATAGGAGGCCAATGCTGGAAGTGAACCATCGGAAGCCGGTGGAGGATGTCATTTTCTTGCCATCAGGGGGTGTAATTGCGACGGCGGGTGGGAATTCAGTGAAGTTGTGGGATTTGCTTAGCGGTGGGAAGCTTTTGTTCTCAATGGAGAGTCATAACAAGACTGTCACTTCCATTTGTGTGGGTAGAATTGGGAGAGATGCAGGGGACGAATCAGAGCAATCTAGGATTCTGAGTGTGGGACTGGATGGGTACATGAAAGTGTTTGATTATGCCAACATGAGAGTGACCCATTCCATGAGGTTCCCTGCACCTCTTGTCTCAGCTGCTTTTTCGCCAGATTCTTCCACGCGGGTCATTGGGTCGTCGAATGGGATTGTATTTGCTGGGAAGAGGAAGACAAAGGAAAAGGAAAAGGAGGAAAGTGAGTCAAGGCTGTTTTGGAGGATAGCGCCGGTGGAGCAACCAAAGAGGAAAGTACTGAGGCCTTCATACTATCGATATTTCCAGAGAGGGCAAGGAGAGAAACCATCAGAGGGAGATTACTTGGTTATGAAGCCAAAAAGGGCGAAATTGACAGAGCATGATAAGTTGTTGAAGAAATTTAGGCACAGGGAAGCTCTGGTATCTGTGTTAGGCAGTAAAAATCCTGAGAATGTGGTGGCCGTGATGGAGGAATTGGTTGCTAGGAGGAAACTGGTGACTTGCATTACAAACTTGGATGTGGGGGAGCTGGAGTTACTGATGATGTTCTTGCAAAAGTATTGTACGGTGCCAAGGTATTCAAGTTTGCTATTCAAAGTGACAAAGAGGGTTATTCAAATGCGGGCTGATGATATCAGGGCTTCTGTCTCCTTCAAGAGTCATATCAGAAATCTCAAGCGATCTGTTGAGGAGGAGCTCCGAATTCAACGGTCATTGCTGCAGATACAAGGTATTATAACTCCTTTATTAAATAGTGCTGGAAGACGGTGAAACTTTCTTACGAGGTTTTGTTGAATTCTTCTCGTGATCGTCTTGTGCAATTTAACAAATGCAGTTTTGGCCAATTGAGAACTTACACCAGCAATTTTAACTGGGGAACGTTGGAATTATTATTAATGCTGTCAACTCACCATATATATATATATATATATATAATGGGTGAATGCTTTTGAACCCCCTTTCTGTGTGGTGTGGTTATATAGAATATGCATATTGCTGGAAGTTTGTTTTCGTGAGATATAATCTTTTGCTAGATTTTTTCTTGTGTTTTTTGGGAGGTATTCGGATTGGGATCCGCAATCAGTGTCATCACTTGCGCCTCTTGGTGGTCGTGGCCTTTCATTTCATTTTCAAATGATCTCTGCTCTTCTTCTCTTCCTCTTCTTTTGATAATAATGATATCTGCTCTTTATTTTAAATTGATTTTTTAATATTTTTAATATTATATTTGTGAAAATTAAAATTTATAAAAATTATAAAAAATTTAATATTAAATCCCTTGATATATCTAGACAGTCTATTTCTACAAATTATAAAAATTTTAGAATGGAATTGGATTTTCTAGACTACATTTATACTGTTCAGAATACAACTGAACAGTTAATTTCTAGAGATATAAAGAAATTAGTATTAAATTGGATTGTTTAAATTAAACAATCCAATTTATGGAGCTCATCCTTTAACAAGTGATGGGCAGATTTACTAATGTTTGTTTATATTTTTATTTTAATAAATATAAATTTCAAATAAGAAAGTTTAAGTCTGATCTATTCAGATCTCCTCAAGGACGATGGGTATAATGGAGCTCATCCTTTAACAAGTACAAAGACAGATTTAATATTAAAATTGTTTATAATTTTTATAAATTTTCATTTTTACAAATATAACATTAAAAACATTTAAAAATCAATTTAAAATGAATGGTGGAGATTATTTAGACATGAAATGAAAGGCCACGATCACCCAAGCTCCAAATGCGAATCCATTCAGGTTACGTTCGTAGCTTAAAGCTTTTCCAGCCTTTCAATAGCTGATTGTAATATTTATTTTACTATCATCACGACCGCTAAATCATTCACGAATCATTCCTCGGCTGCATTGAGGCTGCTAGTTCACAGGGATAGGAACAAAAATCCAAATAAGAAATCTGACAGCAAACTATGATACATTTCAATTTAGTTCGGAGAGATATTTTAGTTTCTTACATTGCAAAATTATCATCTTGCTCGCTTATGTTTAGATTTCATTTCAATTTGGTTCCTTAAAGTAATTTTGGTATCATGTGTTTTAATTTTCCATTTGTTCACTTTACCAAGAACAACTGATTCCAAACCCACATTTTATAATAGCAAGTCTTATTTCAATGCAGGATCGGCACATTTTGTAAACGACACAAAATTTCAATCTCTTTTACTAAATGTAAAATGATTTTATCTCAATGGTTATAAAAATCTGTTCCCAACGTAGACCAGACTCCAAACGCACTAAATATGATACATAAAGTCTTAAGTTGTGTAACAGTATTCAATTTCTTATTTTATGGGCCTAAGTGCCTAACACACCATGTCCCAGGAATGGAGTGTTTATGAGAGGGAGATATGTCCTCGGCGGTGGGCTTTTTCTCAATACGATTTATAATATAAAATATTTTTTATAGTTAAAATGAATAAAATTTTTTAAATTTTAAAATAATTGTATTATGAATCCTTTCACTGTTTAAAGTTAACTCCTTTAATTTTTAATTTTATTTTTGCAAAATCATCTATTTTTAATTAATTTTATTATTGATAAAGTTTGTCATGTCAAATTAATAAAACATATATACACATAGCTAATTTTTGTTAATTATTTTAACTCAATTAAAAAAAAGAGAAAATTTTCATTTTCAACAGTTATGCTCTCATTTGTTTTTTGAAAGTTGAGTGACATTATTTCAATTATTTACTATTATCATAATTTAAGAAAAATTAATATATTATTATTTTTCTATCAATTTAAATAGCTTTTTATATTAAATAAATAGAAAGTTAAAATTAATAAAAATTATATAAATAAAAATTTATTTTTTAATATAAAGTAAACTATGCACCGTTAATGAAAAAAAAAGATAAAACTAATACAAAAATAAATATTTAAAAAATAATATAATTTTTATACATTTATTATTTATTTACATAAATTGTCAATTAAACTTTAATGTAGCTTCCCTACGACAAACTTTGTTAATAACACAAGAAAATAATAATAATAAGATAAGATGTTATAAAAAAAATAAGATTAAATGGTTAAAGGTAAAATATTATTTGTACTTGCGTTGAAATTAAAAAAGATTTCGTGCATTTTAACATTTTTTTAATTGAGCATTGGTAGAGACACCTCCCAGTGAAAATTCAAACTTCATTCATGGCGTTATAAGAGACTAAATCTCTGCTAAATCCAACTCTTAATAGTTTATAAGATAAAATATTGATAGTTAATAAAAATTTTAATCTTTAAAAAAAAATTACACCTTTTTAATTATTCCCATTAAATTAAATAACCTTTTTAAATGCTTTAAATAATGACAATTAAAATTTAAAATATTATTTTTAAAAGAGAGAATAATGAATAAAAGAAAAGCATAGCTGGAAAAAATAAATTTTCCCAACACCTCACATTTCAAACCGGCTTCTAAAATAAACCTTACCAACGGAGTAATCTCTAATCTTACCAATAACTGATGTCGGAAGCGCTTTTTCCCACTTGAACAACCCATGGAATCCGAGAAATACAGGTATTTATTTCCCAGAAAAACAAAAATCTTCGTATAGAAACAACCAGGCTTTCTTCCCCGGGGAAATAAAAGAAAATAATACAAAAAAGGAGAGGCAAAATAAGAGATAAAAGGATATATGGACATAACATACAAACCTATTATAATATAATGCACTCAACATGTACCCATTGATTGCAGCACTAGTTGGACGCTCCTGCACAATGCAAGACAGTAGTCTGTATCAGCTAGAGCGGGGAGCATGGTTCTGATTTAAAAAACACAAATAAGGGGCAAATTTGAAGAAAAAGGCCCATTTACCAAAGCTACAATACGATCGAGTATCTAAATGTGCCAAGTGCATTATTTACAATTTAAAATGCAACACAACAAAAAAAATACCTTAACAAAAGATTATAATCCTAACTAACTGCTTAAATTGGTAAAATTCTAACAAAATAAAATAAAACATAATTAAGATAAAATAAGCTAAATTGCATAAGTGTTGGAACATGCGCAAATAATCCCAACATTTAAAACCTATACACCTTTTAAATTTTATTTTTTGTGCATATAATCCGCATAAATTTAGTTTTACATGCAGATCACCCACTAAATTTGAAGTCAAGTGCAAATAAATAATTTGTCATGTTGCTTTTTATTAATAAAAGAATGGACAAATTAGCAAAAAAGTTATATGCATGCATTTGTTTAGTCAGATTCATTATCAAATTTTGAGGGTTAGGAATATTATACACAACTGAGTAAATAAAATAAAAATCACTAAAATTTCAAATTATAACTGATTTGTTAAAATATTAATTTGTTGCTAATTATACATAACTGAGCAAATAAAATAAAAATCACTAGAATATTTGTAAATAAATAAAGGTAAACTATGCAGAAAATTTGAAAACAAATTCATAATATGATAAAGGCACTTGATTTTGTTTTTACGTGATATGATTTTTATTTTCCAAATAATTATTATTTCTTTTCCATATCCATTAAGTCTAGCAGAGGTTAAAAAATTGTCATCACAAGTTACCAATAAAATTCCGGCTCTCACCACCGCAAATTGACCCTATTTGAAACCTAAAGTGGCAAAAACTAAAACAATAAATTGCCTTAGCTGTTTAGAAAGAAAGAAAGAAAAATCCACTTAAAGACATCCAAAGATATTTTCATTCCAACTGGGCAATATGGGAAAACGTTGAGCGTCTCATACCTGAAGTTCTAGAAGCAGATATTTTATCCGTAGCATTACTGGAACTACCAGTTCTAGTCTGGCCTTTGTTTTCTTCCCTAGAAGCTCCCAACGACCTCAACTTTGACGATGACCTAATTGAATGTATCAAAGGAGCATCTTCATCCTCCTCCTCCTGCTTCCCTTCATCTTGTGCGTCTTGTTCAGACGCACTAATTGATTCTTCATCATCACTTGAACTGTGCTCTTCAAAAAGTTTCTTTCCTGATATATTAGGCCTCTTGCGTGGACGACCCCTGCGCCTTACAGCAGTCCCTTCTTTCTCATCTGTGGACAACTTAATTTGTTAGTCCTGTCATGACATTCAGGCTCTCTATCCAAAGTCTTATGATATACTCCCTCCAGTTTTATTTATAAGACACCTTCTAAAAGTAATTTTTGATCCACAATTTAGAACACCTTGCAATAATTAAACCATTTTTTCAACTTTATCCATTCTTGATTAATGTGAAGTTATTTAATGTAATTGCATTATCATTTAAAATCAAAGGTAAAAATGAAAGTACATCTCACTTTTTTATGATATTAACGAAAAAACTATTTTTCTTGAGATACGTGAAACAGTTAAATGTGTCCTATAATAAGGACTGGAGGGAGTAGCTCTTAGCAGAAAAACGGTGAAGGCAGACAAAACTGCTGCCTCTGAGTTGACCTGACCCTAATTCGAGAATATAAACCCCAACAAAGGCATTTGAAACTACAGTGAAGGAGAATGATGCTAGTTTTTTAAATTTACATACCTTGAAATCCCTCATTCTTCGCATACTTTTCACGTAAGCAATCAATAAATGTGTTGTAGGGACGCCAGCCACTGGGATCTTCATCAGTATTAACATTTTCAGTACGTCTTTGAACATCCTTCATGCTATTCAAAGAAAGGCATCAAAAGGAGTCATATTTCAGGTATATGCACCAAGGATTCTAAAACGAAAATAAGAAATAAAATCTTACATATCTAGTACGTCTGGTGCAGGGAGTTTCGCCACAAAGGGAAGTACCCCAACTTCCAGAAAAGCTAACTGTTTTGGAGCATCTACAAAAGCATAATCAGTACCATCCCTTACAATTTTGAGAATGTCTGACCTATGCTTGTT